TCGCTTTAGCGCTGCGCACATTCGTCGTACAATATTGCAGCAGTTTCAAGGATCCGTGCGGTCGAAGCCCCCGGAATAATGTTCTCGCAGATTCTTTTCAGAACGCCACAGTAACGCTGCCTCGCGGTGTGAAGTCCCAGGAATGGCGTTCTGGAACGCTGTGGGATTGTCAAGACGCAACAGTCACATTGATTTGCGCGCTGAAACCCCAGGAATGGCGTTTTGACACGATTGGGGGTTCTCAAACGTGGTCTTCCAATGGGCCACTTCTGGGAATGAAAACAAATTCCTTCAGGGACCGATGACGAGGGAACATCGTTGATTCGTCTTGGGTTTACACTTCTCATCCTTCTCCTCCACCTCCTCCTCCTCGCACTCCATTTTCCTCGCTCCTCATCGTCGCTCCTCCTTTTCATTTTCCTCCTCCTCCTCCTCCTCCTCTTCCTCCTCCTCCTCTGCCTCATCCTCTTCCTCCTCCTCTTCCTCCTCCTCCTCATCATTATCCTCCTCCTCCTTCTCCTCCACCTCCTCTCGTTCTTTCCTTCATGAGCACAACATGCGGCATTACTGAATCAACCATACCGAAACCACATCGGGGCGGTGATGTAGACCGGTAGTCTACACTATGAGAGAACCCGCTACACCTTCGCACTGAAGAGTCCGCGAGTCCCTGAAGAAACTGAACCGCCCAGTCCGAAACTTGTGGGGGACAAAGGGACGCCAAGTTGGAGACAAACAAGGCAGCGAAACAAGCACAGCGAGCGCATCCAACCACCAGCGGACCTTCATGCAATTGGAGCGAGACGAGGGCATGCAACTTGGACCTCTGGGCTCGCAAACGCGAGTCACGATGTCAGCGAGCACGGTGTATTTTGCAGGAGTGAGCTGGGGCACAGGGGGCTTTTTACGAAGGTGTCCAATGGAGTGCCCGCGGTCAGCCAGCCCCTCGCAAAAACGCCATGTCCAGGTACCGTTCCCCGCTCCTCCTCATCCTCATCATCTTTCTCCTCCTCCAGCCCCTCCTCCTCATCATCATCCTCTTCGCCATCATCATCGTCAGCCTCAGCATCATCATCACCACCATCAGCATCATGATCATCATCACCACCATGCGCATCATCGTCGTCGTCATCATCAGCACCATGTCCAGCTGCATCATCATCAGCATCAGCATCAGCCTCAGCAGCACCATCAGCATCACCATCATCAGCAGCACCATAATCATCATCAGCCAGATGATAATCACCAGCCGCAGCATCATCCTCATCATCATCCTCATCCTCACCGTCATCCCCCTCGTTTTCATCCTTATCATCATCATCATCCTCTTCATCCTCCTCATCATGATCATCAGCAGCAGCATCCTCATCCTCATCCTTACTCCTTATGATGAAACACCACCACATCCCCACCTAGCCCGCCGGTAGCACATTCCAACCGTCCGAACTGTGTATATATATAGTTTGTTTTTCGCGCCAACGTGTCGCCGAGTTGGGAAATGTGTAATACGAACGGGGCGGAATGAACATCGCTTGGGTGACGCTGAGCGGGTGGTCGCGTCCTGTCCATCCAAAAAAACAATATAAAGTCAACGTTGTTTCTCGTCCGCATGGACTTTTTTGTCGTCGGCGCTGCGAACCGTGCAGCAATAATGGGACGTGGCGCGCATCGCGCGCGGACGCCTGGCCAACCCTACGCGGGATCCACCGTCCTACATGCCAAAAAAACACAGCAACGTCGACGTTTTCTTGCCCACATGTATTTTCCCCTCGTCGGCGCTGCGAATCGCGCGGCGGGAATGCGACGCGGCGCACATCGCGCGGGAACGCCTGCTCGTCAACATGGACTTTCTTTTCGTCGACGCTGCGGCCCGTCGGGTTGAGGAGCTGGGCGGGCGGCAAATCATAATGCCTCAAGCAAGCGCGGTCCAAACAAGTGCCCCGGGAGACCCCCAGGTCGAACAAAAAGGCGTCCATGAGGTCCTGGGGGGGGCAACACAAAGATTGAGTTGCTTATGGTGTTCGAAAGATTGCGAGGTTGGCACCTATTTGCGTTGTCAATGTTCCGACCCGGATATATATATATATATATATACATACACACATACGTACACACATATCACTCGTACCTTGAGGAGTCCAGACGGGTCCCGCCGAACAGACCTAGAAGGGCGCTCTAGAGTGCTCTACAAGAGACTGGGCAGAACGCCGTATATTGTAACGATGCCTCCCTAGGGCCTCCTCACTGTCGAGAGGGCCGAGAGCGGGGGCGGCGCGGACAATATCATATATGTGGTAAGCCCGCACAATCCTCTCAACGATCTCAGGCGAAGGGTGACCATCGAGCCCAAGACCCGCGGAGGGACAAACAGGAGGCGGGTCAGGATGGTATACAAGCCTCCAAAGGGCAGGGCAATGAATATAGTGCAACATGTCGTCTCGGCATTGGGCGCATTGGCATCTACACAGGCCGATCTCTGACGACTGCAAACGTGCGCTGGTGAGCCATGCTCCTACAATCGTCTTCAGGTCAGCACTTTGCCATGCTGGAGGGCCTCCGTTGCGAACGAGATCTCTGAGGGCAGCCCAGAACGATTCCGAAAATGGGAGCTCCCAGGAGGCCATACGCTTAGCAAGAGTGAGGTGGAGGACATCGGGGAAAAGAGCGAGGCGAAGAGAAGAGGAAAGGGATCTCTGCACCTTCACGCGCCCCAGTCCCGAGGCTTCGGCAAGTGCGGAGAGGGCAGTGCGGGCGGCCGAGGCCTGAGCCTTCAAAGGAAAGGCGGCCTTGCTGGCCTCAGAAATGTGGACCACGATCGGTTTCGTTCTCCAGAAGTCAGGCGACCACCAGCCAGAGCCCACCTCTGCGAGGCTGCCGAAGGCGAGGGACGCCTCTTGCAGCGCGCTGAATAGGGGCGACCAGTTGGTGACCGTGCTGATGACATACGTACACACATGTATACATATATACATATATATACATATATACATATATACACCGAAGAAACCCTCATGCGTATACCAGAAATATCCCAGGACGCCCCGCGAATTCCCAAGAGGCATTATCCTCTTCCCCCTCAGGTTTTCCCTCCCTCCCTCTCTCCCTCCCCTCCTCCTCCTCCTCCTCCTCCTCCTCCTCCTCCTCCTCCTCCTCCTCCTCCTCCTCCTCCATGCGCGGCAAGAGCGAAACGATTTGCGGTGCAACGCGCGTGGCTGGAATGAGACGCGGCGCACTTCGCGCGCTGGACATGTTGTCGCCGACGATGCAACATGAAAGGCTGGAGCGGGGCGCGGCGTACATCGCGCGCGGTCTTATTTCTCGTCGACGTTGCTCAATACGCGGCAGGAATAGGACGCAGCTCATGTCGCGCGCTGAACGTCTAGTCGAACAGGAGATAAAATGAGCGACAGGCGTCGGACGCGACGCACTTGCTTCTTATGTTGCGGCGGGGCGGGGGGGAGTGGACGGAGTCCTCTGGCTCGTTCGAGCTGGCTAACTTGACCCTCACCCTCACCCTCACCTTCACCTTCACCCTCACCCTCACCCTCACCCTCTTCCTTCCTGTTCCTCTTCCTCTTCCTCTTCCTCACACCCTCCAGGGAGGGGCGCGCAGCCTACACAGTGCGGCCAGGACAGAAAAAGAAGGGGCAGGAATTGGAGAAGGCAAATCACACGTGCGACATGCGAAGGGAGGGAGGACGGAGGGGACAGCTCAGGATGGCCCAACAATGATCGGAAGTGTCTCGGAAGGTAGCAAGACGACTATGGGAAAGCCCCAACAGGGCCCGCAAGGTGGCCACAGTAGGCTACAAACCCGCGTGGGCGTGCGCACTGCTACGCAAGGCCAGCGTGAGCTTGCTTACCGACGCCCTGCAACACGAGCGTGCGGACAAGAGCGCACCGGCGGCCACCCTGCGCCCCGAAGCGGACGGCGAAGGCCGACGAGGCGTACCTTGATTGAGATGTCCTGCTCTCCAAGGGCCATCGAACGATCCTGCCTTCTTCCTCCCCCCCACGCGGCGCCCCCTGGGGGGAAGGGAATTGCGCATCGGGAAATCAAATAGAGTCAGAATCTGCGTTGGGTCGAGCTGCATCGACACGGGGTCAAGACCGAATCGGACCAGCTGCGCCAGGATACACAGCAGCGCCATGCAAGCATCGGGCCGTATCGGCTCGTCGGAATGTCGGAAATCGAATCGGATCGGGCTGGTCGAAATCGACATCGATTCGAATCGATCGGATCGGACAGAGGGACTCCCAGGGGCCATCGAGCGGTCCTTGCCCCCCCCCCCGTGGCTCCTCCTGCGGGCAACCTCGGCCTCGCACGCAGGTATTCCCCCCCTGGGCGGGCCTCGATCGCCGCAGGAGTAGCGGCAGGGGGCAGAGGAACAAAACACGACAAAAACGGCACACGGCAAAAACAATAACTTTCGGAGCTCTGCGCAGATTTTTTGAGCGGCGCTGGACCCCCTCCCTCGCGCGCGGGGAGCGCCGGGGGCGGCGCTAGAGGCGCTGCCAAGGGGTCCCAGCGCAGATCATAGAAGTCCGCGCGGAGCTCCGACAGTTTATGTTTATCAGTTTCTTCGATGGGAGGAGTGGGACTTCCTCCGTGCCACCGTCGCGTGCCTTGTCTTGGAGGGGGAACGCTGGGGGAGGACCAGCTCAGAGGGGGAGAACAGCGTTCTGGAATCGGCAATACATCGCTGATGGATCAGCGACAGGCCCCCGATAGCGAATCCGCACGATCCTGGGCGGGGTGGGCTATCAGGCTCCTAACGGCGATGAACGGCGAGGCGCAACTGCTGAAGAGATCCCAAAGCTGGGAAACCGACGAGAACCGACGAAAACGCCCGAAAACCTCGAATCCTCGGCGAGGTGCGACTGCTGGAAGGCACCTCGCCGAGACTGGGAAACCACCGAGAACTGACGAAAGCGTCCGAAAACCTCGAACCCTCTAGCCTCGTGCCGAACTCGCCGGCCCTCCACCCCCGGCGCGGCGCCTGTGGCCTCCCAGACCTCGAGGAGGTCGCCGTCGCGGAACAGGACCTCCGCCCGCGGCGGCGGCTGGCCCCACGCGCTCTCGCTCGAAAGGCGGCACCCCACGACGAGGAGGCGGCGCGGAAGGGGGAGGGGGTGGAGCGGCCCTCTCTAGGAGGGCAGGGGGGAAGCCAGACGACTCACGATGACAAGCCAGCCCCGGGGAATGAATGCGTCGAGACATCTGAGGCGCCACGTCGTTTCTTACCAACGAAACATGTTTTTGACATCCACGCCAACGCCCTTAAATCCTTGGACCGACCAGGGTAGCGAGCCAGCATCGGAGGGGGATGCTGGCTCCCCGAATGGCGACACATTCAGTCTGAGTCACCTAAATCAAAATCGCAGGATCGCGAGGCCAAGGGAGGAGCAGCGCCCCCCTGCCGCTCGAGCTCAAGACGTGCCCGGCGCGACCTCTCTCTCTCTCTCTTGGAGAGTGGACGGGCGCAGAGAACCGACGAGCAGGAGCAGCCAAGCTGCGAGAGCCAAGATCGAAATGATCGCTGGCGAGCGCAACGCCCACCTCGCCTATACCCGACGAGGGCGCAGGCGGGGCGACCATCTCGCTCCGCTGCGACAAGGAATGACCACCACCAAGCGCACTGCCTTCCACCCCCGCCCCGGAAACAGGAATGGAAGGGGAAGGCACCTCGCCCAGCTGCGGGGAGGGCCTGGGCAACGCGCCAAGCGCGAGAGGAGCGGCAGCACCAGAGCAGGCCGCCTGTCCAGGCTCAACCTGCGCGGCTGAGGCAGCGCTATGGGCAGCGCCGGAGAGGAAGTTGGAAGCTTCTTCATCAACTCCAAAGTCATCATCCCTAGGCCCAGCCTGATCAGGCTGAGGCCCAAGGGAATTAGGTTCAGAAGGTCCCCTCCCGCCCCGCCCCCGCCCCACCACCCGCCCCACCCCAGGGGGGGAAGGAGGTTGAGGAGGGGCCGCAGGACCTGGGGGATCCTGAGCGGCCTGATATCCCAGCTCGCCAGCGTTGAAATCAGGCCTGTTGCCACACTCGACGAAAGAATCAAGATCGACCGAAACGCCGCGCCTGCGCCGAGAGTAGTGGGGGTGCCTGCCACGGCAGAGCTGCACCCACCCAAGCCTGCCAGCACGAGTCGGAGGAACACATGCGTTAGCCAAGCCTCTGACTTGGCCCCCAGGCGAATGAACACTTGCACCTCATACAGATAAATAGCACGGAGTGGTCCGAGCATTCGAGCGCCAACGTCTCATGGCCAAAACGGTCTTGATGAGACGCGCGCAACTTACTGTCACGAGGGCGTCGTCCACTGGTAGGGGGAACCAGTGATCCACTGCCTTTGAGACAAAATACGCACCTCCAAATCCCCGCCCAGCGCCCCCGGCGATGACCCGCAGAGACAGCGGCAGGAGAAGGAGGAGGCTCAAGACGCCCAACACAAGAGAGATCGACCGAGGGCCAAAGGCGGAGGACAGCACTGGCGACTTGCAAGGTGGCCTTAGCAAAACGGGCCCGATCGTCGGCATCCTTGAGCAGACCAGCATTATAAGGATGGATGTGCAGAGCCATATTGGCTCCAACATAAGAGAAATTCTCACCTATGCGGCGCCGTCGCTCGTCGGCATCGATCGAAGGATCGTCGATGTCCTGGCGGGCATCATCCTTAGCGCAGCCCGAAACCGACGAAAACTAGCCGTGGCACTAAAGGAAGGCTCGAGAATAAATCCCCTGCCCGATAACTGTTCAGGCTGAGACCGAGCAGCGAGCCTAACAACATTCAAGCAACCAGAATAAACTTGGCATTCGTCAGGATTACGGGCTAAAGCGTCGGCCCAAGTGAAGGCGCTAAACTCCGCACTCTGGGGTGTCTGAGAGCAGGGGCCCCAGACGGGAGCTCTTAATTCGGCCACCAGGGCCCCTTCAGCATCGACCATGCAAACAGAGCCCGCAGCGCCAGAGAGCTCCCGAACGGGGTGCCGAGCACAAGAACCATCTACAAACAGCGAGCCCCGAACAGGATTGGCGACGGGCCCTCCGCCAGGGGCCGAATCAGGGGGAGCGTGCCAGGAGAGGAACGGACCATGACCAGCCCCCAAGGCAGGCGCGGGGCAAGAGTCAGCGGGAGGCCGAAAGGCCCCAGAAATAAAAACGAAGTAGTCTTCGAGCTCCCCAGAGGCCTTATCAGACAACGCAGCATCAATGACATCCTGGTTGACGGCTTCAACACGAGCCTCCAAGACCAACGCCGGCACCCCCACAGGCGGTGGAAGACGGTGTCTCTGGCGCCGCAGAACACGCCGTCAGGGGAGACACAGTAGCCGAGGGCCTCCGCCCTGGCAGCCGCGAAGAAGGCCTCGGCGGCGAAAGCTCGGACCCAGGCCTTCTGCAGGGCAGTGAACATCTTACTCCCGGGGGGGCCGCGCGCCGAACAGTGTCGTAGCAGATCCTGGCAGATACCCCCCTCTTCGCAGCCGAATCGCGCTCGAGCACGCGAAGATACCCCTCGCGGACCAAGGGCCTCACCAGGGCAGGGGAGAACAAACCAAGGGGGAAACTTGCCCAACATCGTCAACTAAACTCCTAAAATTGCCCATGTGCAACCCGAGGCGAAACAGCGACATGCGGGGGGCCGCGACAGGCCCGGAAACGCGGCGCCACGAGCAGCCATCGCGAAAAAACGCGAATCTCCAGGCAGCATTGAGGAGCTCGAGGCTGAGAGCCCAGGGGTAAGCAGGCGTTTGACTGATCCATATTCAGATTTGTTTCACCTGGTGATTGACGCCGTCGCTGCGCGCCACGTCGGATCTCCATCCAACAGGGCACTCGTCGTGAGAGACCTCAGTTGACCGCGAAGTCGAACGACCGAAAACTCGACGGCGCAGCAAGCTATGGTCGCGATCGCTGATGCCCGCAACCTCAGATCCATAGGCGGCCCCAGCTACGGGGCCACCCGAATAGACCACGAGCGCGGCCGTCCTGGAAAGGACCTTCGTTTGCTTGCCGAGGCGTCGAGCAGCGCGCGAAGACTTGGCCGAGCGAACCTTCACCTTGGCCGCCTTGCCTGCAACGCGAAGCGCCCTGCCCGCCGGCAGTCAACTCCGAGGTTGACCGTGGACGGCGAGCACTGCTGACAGAGGTTGCTGAGCTGATCCCACACCTGGGAACCCGCAGACTTCGAGCTAGCGACGATAGCCGTCTTATCGAAGGCGAACGAGCACCCGAACACTTGCTGGACCACCCGGTCGAGAGCTTCAGCGCCAGCCACGATGGGGGGGGTCCACAAATTTCGAACAACCAGCAGCCGGGATACCCTGATCATCGATATAAACGCCCATGCCGAAACCAGGGGGCAACGGAATGGTGTCATAGCCTTCGGCGCAGTAAACACGAATGAGAGCGGTGGCCATCGAACAGCCAGCGATGACTCCGTTGACACAAAGGCATGGCCCCTCGAGCCATCGTCCTCAACTAAAAAACCTGCCACAACGGTAGGCATAGACGCAAAGCCACATGATGACCAAGGGGAAACAAAGCCTCTCACACCTGTCGTCAAGCTTAGCCAAACAAACGTCATCGTGGAATTGGGGGAAATCCAAGGAAATGCCAAAGCTGAATTCTCCCCTGACCAATCCACTCTCAGCAGTGACAGCTTGCCTCCAAACAACATCCGTAGCTCCCCGAAACTGGCCAGCAGCCCAGCACCGACGAGGGCGCTCTATCTCCCAATCCAAGGCGAGGGGGCGCCCGCAGCGCCCCCAGGCGCTGAGCCAGAAACAGAACGCCCCAATCGGCCTGCAGCGACCAGTAGGCCTCGGGAGAAGCGCCAGCAAGGAAACCGAAATCTGAAGAGGAAGGCAGCCAAGAGCCTCAATCGCAATGAGGACGCCGCTGAAACAATCGAGAGCCCCGTCACACAACAAAGAAAATGGCAAAGAAATCCGTCGACCGAGACGGCCGAGGAAACGCCATGCGACGTCGACACGTCACGGATCACCTGGGCCGAAAGCCTGGGAAGCGGAACCACGATTTCACCAGAAGGGTGGGCGGCACCAGCGCCCTGGCCCCATAAGGCCGCAAAACGAAACCCCCTCCGCTTTGAGAAACGACAGCGGGTCCGTGACAATACACCCATCAGCCGACAGAGCACTGCTAGCCGCCCAGGGCGCGGGATCGCGCACTCGATTGGCACCCGACAAGATGCCGCTGGCAAGCCAAGCCTTCCAGTCAGCCCGCCCTCGCGCAGCAGACTTGCCGTCAGCGGCCTGGGCGGCCCCGCGCACCTGAATGCACAGTGCCGAGTAGGACTCAAGGCCAGCTGGGGCCCCCACCGCCGCTGCCACCAGCTCGAAAAGGGGGGGGCGTAAGCATCGCGAGCTTCAAATACACCAGCAGGCGACTGCAGCAATTGAAACCTCAGCCGTCTCGAAGCCACCGACTCAGCATCAGCTCGCGACGCGTGAATTAAACTTCCAAGCTGCTGGCCGAGCAAGCGAATAGCACGATGACCTGGATAGCGGACCTGAGCATCCCTGGCCAGAACAGCCCCCCAGGCAGGCCGGGTGCCCAACCCGCGAGGCCCGAATGCGACTGGTGAAGAACCCACCAAGGGCACCAACTCACGTTCAGCAACATCCGCCCAAGACGAACAGAACTACCCAAAAATGCAACGGGCCCCTCACAGCATTGCCCTCACCAACGAGAGTCTGCGCATAATCGGCCACCGCCTGCACGCCAGTCCAAACCTGGGAGAGCGGAGACGGGCCGAAGACCCCCGCGCAAGGCAGAGGGGGGGGGGGGGGCTCACGGAAAGACAAAGCTTTCAAAACCGCACTCCGAAGCAAAAACAAAGGATTTCCACGGGGCGGTGGGGCGGGAGCTCCGCGCCCAATATCGCATCGATACTCTCGATGCCCTCGGCCAGGCCACTGGGAGACACATAGAACTCAAACGTGGTGGGGGGTGCCAGCGGGATAGTGCACGCAGACGGCAGGGGCGACCACAGCGCCGCGAAGCTCGCGCGCGAACTGAGAGCCC